TACACCTCAGCATCAGATATCAACCTTTGAACCTGAAAATGCAGAAGAAATGTACTTTTATTCAAGCAGTTTAGAAAAAAATAAAAATATAAATAAAAAATACACATAACCAGACTGGTGTTGATAAGGTTGGGCCTTGAAATTTAGACCGTGAAAACCTGCAAATGTTCGGATTAATTCCGTGGCAGGGATCTTCATTTAATATCTGTGAATGCCGCGCACGTGCGCCGTCTGGAGGTAGCACGTAAAAGCCATCAATCGAATGAGAGGGAAAAAAAATTGATCCAATAGCAAGCTTGGGATGGAAAGAAATCTATTTATTTCTTTTTTCCTGCCTTATAATTTTTACACCATTTTGGGAGAAGCTGGCATGTATTTTCATGCTGTCCCGTGCAGTTGTGGGATAGAAATTTAATTATGGGTGACTTCGAATCGGGCGTAACTGCTCTCCAGTTAGCATGAAATCTAAGGTTTAAAATAAGATGGGTTTAAAATAAGATTCGTTTAAATTAAGATTTGTTTAAAATGAAATTTCTTTAAAATAAGATTCGTTTAAATTAAGATTTGTTTAAAATGAAATTTCTTTAAAATAAGATTTGTTTAAAATAAGATTTGTTTAAAATAAGATTTGTTTAAAATAAGATTTGTTTAAAATAAAATTAGTTTAAAATAAAATTTGTTTAAAATAAAACTTGTTTAAAATAAAATTAGTTTAAAATAAAATTTGTTTAAAATAAAACTTGTTTAAAATAAAATTTGTTGGTTTAAAACAAGATTTATTTAAAATAAGACGCTCAGTGACCCTAGGACATCACCCAGAACACTGAAGTCGTCCCTGGTTTGAATCGTCTTCGTTATACCTTGCGTAGGAATTCATAAATACTCTCGCTGACGTAGCAGATTTACTGGGTGACGTGATACAATCCTGAGCCTTCGTTAATCCAGGGTTAATAATGATCCGCATCAAATCGTGGTGGGTAAAAAAAATAATAATGAGCAGTGCACGGGGGGTTGTTTTTTTATTTTTTAAGATGGTAAACATGAAGTTTCCCTCCAAAGGAAATGAGTTTAAAAGAAAATTTATGGCCCTTGCATAGGCCGTAGCTGTAGGAAGAGATTCCTGGTAAATGAAGTACACACAAACCATTTTTTAATCTGTCTCTCCTGACTCGATTTGTATGCAGGAGGCGTTCGTGCTGATGCTGAAGGTTATTCTATTTTTAACACTATGCCACTGCACTTATTTTTTTTTTTTAATAAGGAGAGGTAAGTTCCATAAACTACGAAATTTTTTATTGCAAATATCAATTAAAAGAAAGGCTTTAAAAAAAAAAACAAAACAAATCCAACACCTTTACAGGAGCAATACTTATCCCAGACCAGGTTTTATTTCTTGACATACGTTATTTGATGGCACTTACAGCCCTTTTCTGAATGCTTACACTGTCTATCATCTATTTCATAGAATCATGGAATGGTTTGGGTTGGAAGGGACCCCTAGAGGTCATGTCGTCCAACCCCCCTGCAGGGAGCAGGGACATCTCCAACCACATCAGGTTGCTCACAGCCCCATCCAACCCGGCCTGGAATGTTCCCAGGGATGGGGCCTCCACCACCTC